TCCCAAAGTGCTGGGATTATAGGCGTTGAGCACTGTGCCTGGTGTCTCACTTCCTTTAACTAGACACACACATGAAAAATCTGCCTCCCCAAAATGTTAAGCCACCCAAATAGTGTAGTGGCATTGGCAAATTTTATGAGTATACTTAATTATGTATCATTTTTTTCTAAGTCATTAATAAAATGTTTAAAAAACTCAGGACGAACTCTTGTGCAGCTCCTCTCTAAGTGCACTTCTGTAACTGATTTTTTTTAAAGCCGCTTATCTATTTATTTACTTAGAAATGGGGTCTAGCTCAATTGTCCAAGCCAAAGTGCAGTGGAACAATCATGGTCGAATCACTGCAGCTTTGACCTCCCACGCTCAAGGAATCCTCTAGCCTTAGCCTCCTGAGTAGCTAGCACTACAGGAGTGCACCACCACTCTTGGCTAATTTTCTTTCATGTTTCTTTGTGGAGACAGGGTTTTGCCATGCTGGCTAGGCTGTGGAGACAGAGTTTTGCCATGCTTGCAATGCTGGCTAGGCTCAAGCAGTCCACCCACCTCAGCCTCCCAAAGTGCTGAGATTAAAAGCCTGAACCACCACGCCCAGCCTAAAAGCCACTTTTTAGGGGCCATCTGCTAGTCTGTGGTACATATATTGAGTGATTACACAGCAAAGATGTAACATGGAACTAAGTAACAAAGTCAAAACCTAAGTGCGGTGGCTCACACCTGTAATCTTTGCACTTTGGAGGTGGATCGTTTGAGCTCAGGAGCTTGAAACCAGCCTGGGCAATATGGCAAAACCACATCTCTACTAAAAATACAAAAATAGGCTGGAGTGGTGGCACATGCCTGTAGTCCCAGCTACTTGAGGGGCCGAGGCAGGAGAATCACTTGAAACCAGGAGGTGGAGGTTGCAGTGAGCTGAGATCACGCCACTGCACTCCACCCTGGGCAACAGAGTGAGACCCTGCCTCAAAAGAATGACAACAAAACCAAAGACCTAATAAATAGAAGCACATCCTGTGGAGATGAAGGGCCTAAAGGCGGGCACATACCTGTCATATTCTAATTCATCTGATGCTTTAGGAATTGTTCACTAAAGAGCCTGAGTATATAATAAAGCTTGTATAATAGTATCTGATTTTTTTCCTGAGACTGCTCAAAGTTTAAAAGTACACTTATCAGTCCTAATCTAGCTAAATTATTTTTGGATCTTAGTTACTTCTATAATTCTTATTTGTACAATAGGAATTATAAGGCCAGGTGGGTGGCTCACGCCTGTAATCCCAACACATTGGGAGCCCGAGGTGGGTGGATCAGGAGATCAAGACCATCCTGGCCAACATGGTAAAACCTGTCTCTACTAAAATACAAAAAACTAGCCAAGCATGGTGGCACACACCTGTAGTCCCAGCTACTTAGGAGGCTAAGGCAGGGGAATCTCTTGAACCTGGGAGGCAGAGGTTGTAGTGAGCCGAGATCATGCCACTGCACTCCAGCCTGGTGACAGAGCAAGACTCCGTCTCAGA